TTTTGTAGTCGTATCATCTGACCTGCGGCCGTATGTTTTGGACACCCGAGTGAAGAGAGGGGCGGAGCTGTCAACTGATCACCACCTGGTGGTGAGTTGGATCAGATGGCAAGGGAACATGCCGCGTAGACATGGCAGACCCAAACGCATAGTGAGGGTCTGCTGGGAACGCCTGGCAGAAGAACCTGTCAAGACGGTCTTCAACTCCCACCTCCGGCAGAGCTTTGACCACGTCCCGAGAGCAGTGGGGGACATTGAGTCCGAGTGGGCCTTGTTCCACTCTGCGATTGTCGAGGCGGCTGTTGCTAGCTGTGGTCGTAAGGTGGCCGGTGCCAGTCGTGGTGGCAACCCCCGTACCCGCTGGTGGACACCAGAGGTTCGGGGAGCCGTCAGGCTGAAGAAGGAGGCCTACAGGGCGTGGCTGGGCTGTGGGTCTCCGGAGGCAGCAGATAGGTACCGGATAGCCAAGCGGGGTGCAGCAGTGGCAGTTGCCGAGGCAAAATCTCGGGCGTGGGAGGAGTTTGGTGAGGCCATGGAGAAAGACTATCGATCGGCTCCAAAGAGGTTCTGGCAAACTGTCCGGCGCCTCAGGAGAGGAAGGCAGCAACTCGCTCACACTGTTTACAGTGGGGATGGGGAGCTGCTGACGTCAACTGAGGCTATAGTCGGACGGTGGAAGGAATACTTTGAGGAGCTCCTCAATCCCACCAATGCGCATTCCGAGGAGGAACCAGAGCTGGGAGGCCTGGGGATGGACTGTCCGATCTCGGGGGCAGAAGTTGCTGAGGTAGTCAAACAACTACACAGCGGCGGAGCCCCGGGGGCGGATGAGGTTCGTCCTGGGTATCTCAAGGCTATGGATGTTGTAGGGCTGTCATGGTTGACACCTCTTTACAACATTGCGTGGTCATCGGGGGCAGTTCCTAGGGAGTGGCAGACCGGGGTGGTGGTCCCCATCTTTAAGAAGGGTGACCTGAGGGTGTGTTCCAACTATAGGGGGATCACACTCCTCAGCCTCCCTGGAAAGGTCTACTCCAAGGTACTGGAGAGGAGGGTCCGATCGATAGTTGAATCTCAGATAGAGGAGGAGCAATGTGGTTTTCGTTCTGGCCGTGGAACTGTGGACCAGCTCTATACCCTTGCAAGGGTGATGGAGGGGGCATGGGAGTTTGCCCAACCAATCCACATGTGCTTTGTGGATTTGGAGAAGGCTTATGACCGTGTCCCCAGGGGCACCCTGTGGGGGACGCTCCAGGAGTATGAGGTGGGTGGCTTTCTGTTAAGGGCCATTCAGTCCCTTTACCAGAGGAGCGTGAGTTTGGTCCGCATAGCCGGTAGTAAGTCGGACCTGTTCCCAGTGAGGGTTGGACTCCGCCAGGGCTGCCCTTTGTCACCGGTTCTGTTCATCACTTTTATGGACAGAATTTCTAGACGCAGCCGTGGTGTGGAGTGTGTCGAGTTTGGTGGCAGGAGAATCTCGTCTCTGCTTTTTGCGGATGATGTGGTCCTCCTAGCTTCATCCAGCTCTGACCTTCAGCTCTTGCTGGGTAGGTTCGCGGCCGAATGTGAAGCGGCTGGGATGAGGATCAGCACCTCAAAATCTGAGACCATGGTTCTCGACCGGAAAAGGGTGGCTTGCCACCTCAGGGTCGGGGGAGAGGTCCTACCTCAAGTGGAGGAGTTTAAGTATCTCGGGGTCTTGTTCACGAGTGAGGGTAGGAGGGATCGGGAGATCGACAGGCGGATTGGTTCGGCGTCTGCAGTGATGCGGACGCTGAGCCGATCTGTCGTGGGGAAGAGGGAGCTGAGCCAGAAAGCCAGGCTCTCGATTTACCGGTCGATCTACGTGCCAATCCTCACCTATGGTCATGAGCTTTGGGTAATGACCGAAAGAACGAGATCGCGGATACAAGCGGCCGAAATGAGTTTCCTCCGTAGGGTGGCCGGGCTCAGCCTTAGAGATAGGGTGAGGAGCTCGGACATTCGGGAGGGACTCGGAGTAGAACCGCTGCTCCTCCGGATCGAAAGGAGCCAGTTGAGGTGGTTTGGGCATCTGGTCAGGATGCCTCCTGGATGCCTCCCCGGGGAGGTGTTTCGGGCATGTCCTGCCGGCAGAAGGCCCCCGGGTCGACCCAGGACACGTTGGAGAGGTTACATCTCCAATCTGGTCCGGGAACGCCTTGGGGTCCTGCCGGAGGAGCTGGTGGAGGTGGCCGGGGAGAGGACGGCCTGGAGCTCCCTAGTTGGGATGCTGCCCCCGCGACCCGGACCCGGATAAGCGGAGGAAGACGAGACGAGACGAGACGAGACGAGATGTAGTAATGGCTAACTCATTATTCACTCTTTTGTAGCACAGCAATAGCACTAGGAAAAGATATCCCGATGGGGTTCTGTTACACAAACCTCACGAATAACATTATCTACTGAAGTAACAGTCCTGCTTAGAGGTTGGACTGTAGATCAGATATGACATAATTCTAAAGACTCATCTTTGGTTTGGAAAATGTCCGTTCTCTTCTGTGATACATAGAAACTGAAGCGTGATCGCAGCTAACATGCTAACGAACGCTAACTCTCTCCGGCTGATCGGTGACGTCATATAATCAAATCAAGCTGTTTACTTTTCTCGTCAGAATAAACGGAGCATCCATTTATCTCCAAACACAGGTGGTGTGTCGTCCACAAAACGTAGAAGTGATCCGATTACTCCTTAGTTGCTTTCAGCTTTTTCAAACTGATCAGGAAGCCATATGCTAAACACCGTTAGCTTAGATACGTTTCTTGTTCATCTGCACAAAGATTTGTTAGATGACCTAAATCAGTATTATCTAAATCCATAGGTTTTATTTTATTTTATTAAATTGTGCAGATGCAGCTCTGATATGTTTACCTATTCCTTACTGAAACCTACAGCAGACATAATGAGACCATGTAATACAACACTTACCTGGTCACTAGAAAATGCGCCATGTCCGCATCTGTTTTCAGGCCCAAATCCAGTTGAAGCAGCCTCCATTCTTCAAAAGCGTAACCAATAGATATTCGGGTCCTTGACCGACTTTTATCATATTTTATTTTTGACTCTTGAGATGCCGCTGATAAAACCTTTTTCTTTGTACCACTCTTTAGTGGGCTTTGAGTTGCGCTTGGTCGTTTGCTAGTTGTAGAATCCATTTCCAGGGTTCTTCCTCTTCTGTTTGAGGTTTTAACGTGGCTAGTAGTGAGAGACGCATTACCGCCACCTAGCAAGCTTCCAAATGTTTTTCCGGGTTTGAACCTTGTCGAGAACGCGCATGAAGCGTCAAATAACGTCACATCCTTAAAACAGCGCGGGAAATTCGGATGCGACATGTTTTGCATTTTGAAGCACACAAGCTGTTTAACAAAATGGAATGATAAACTGGTTTCATCATTCTTTTTAGTTTAAAATGCTTCATCACCCATAAGCTTCACAAGAATGAACATTTACTTTTTGTTTTTGGACAATTCTGCCCCATGCTCCTTTAAATAATTCTTCAATCTTCTTGTTTTTTTAAAAATATTCTTTTTTTTCTTCTTAAACTGCATCAATTGTCTCAGGTTTGAAGGGCACCTTTTCCAGATGACATGTTTCAGCTCCTACCAAAGATGTTCAAAAGGACTGAGGTCAGAGCTCATGCGAGGCCACTTTAGAATAGTCCGATATTTTCCTCTGAGCCATTCCTGGGTATTTTTAGCTGTATGTTTTGGGTCATTGTTCTGTTGCAAGATCCATGACCTGCAACTGACACCAAGCTTTCTGACACTGGCCAGCACCTTTCTTTCTAGAATCCGTTGATAGTCTCAAGAGTTTATCGCACCCTGTACAGATTCAAGACACGCTGTGCCAGATGCAGCAAGGCAGTCCCAGGACATAACAGAGCCTACTTTGTGTTTCAAAGGAGGGACAGTATTCTTTTCTTGATATGCTTCATCTTTCCATCTGTGAACATAGAGGCGATGTGCCTTGGCTCAAAATTCATTTTTTGTCTCATCTGTTTATAGAACATGCTCCCAGAAGCTTTTTGGCTTTTCAACATGTAGCTTGGCATCTAATCTCCTGAGACAACTCTTTCCTTTGTTTTCTATGGTCCATGTTGAGTGTGGTACACACCATGTTACCAAGCAACACAGTGACTACCTGGAGCCCTATATATAGGCCCACAGACTGATCACAAAATTGCAGACACTTGTGATGCTCATCTCTGAAAATATCCTTAGAAATGTTGGTGAAAATGAATTAAACGTTGCCCAGGTGATGAAAAATATTGACGGCTTCTTAACATATGACCATGAAAATCGGGTCTAAAATACATGGGGGCGGGTCTGGGTGACGCCATATTAGATCCAATGTTTCCTTCTACATCAGCCAATGAGGACAAAATGCATTTGTAGATATGTAACAAGCTGGTACAAAACTTTGGCCATTCATAAATGTTGTTGTTTTACACATGCACCTCTTCACTCATTGCCAGTAATGAAAGTCTTATGTGCTTGTCGTTTTGCTGGAAATTGAATTATCTGGCAAAATACTCATTTGAAAATTGCTCTCCCAGAGATTTTTTTTAACTTAAACAGCCATCCGTTGGAAAGGTCTTACTTAAATACAAAAATACCACTTGCTTGCAATGATTTAGGTATGTACTGCATCCCATCGCCAGGGAAAATACACTCCGTCCCATTAATTATTATATCCACAATCTTTTGAGTCAGGTTAATAGTTGTGGTTAACAGTACTTGCTTTCTGATTGGGTTGCAGCTTCCTATTGAGGTTTCCAACAAACACACAGGTTCATGGTATCGAACCAATGATTAGGTATAGGTATCAGAGGAGGCAGAAGCACGGTGCCACTCAATAACTTATGCTTGGTTTAGAAAAAACAAATGTGGTCCCTCATTGTTTGTGAGACATATGCTTTGTTATTACATTGTGCATTTTATTAAACTGTCACAGATTGTGACCATTTTTCTTCTGCTTTCAGGGAGCGGTTAGTGGGGTGTTGTTGGTGACACCCAACAACATCATGTTTGACCCTCACCGCATGGATCCCCTGGTTCAGGCCCATGGATGTGAGGAGTATGGCATCATGTGTCCCCTGGAGGAGGTGCGGTCTGCTTCCATCTACAAGGAGGTCACTGACTTCAAGATGAGAGAAGCTGTCCCAGAGTAAGATATAAAGATTCATTTAAGCGGTCAGGGCTGCTTGTACAAATATTCAGTTGATACTGTATGTGTCAATGGATGCCAAAAGTAACCTAAAAATTATATTTTTTCCTACATAAATAGTTAAGCTTGTTGGAGACACAAATATGCCAGAAAATATGCAAATCATCAGTTGAAATTGCTAAACCAGTGGAGATACGTTTTCAACATTGTATTTCTTGTAAAGTAGAGGGCTGCATCGGGATTGGGTCCCGTGGGACCCAACACAAATCTTGCGGGGACGGGCGGTGTGAATTTTGCTGCGGGCGGGAACGGTCGGCTAAAAGAAACCGTGCAGGATCGGGATGAGTATGATGGAGCCGGCAACTGATGTTGAAAAGAAGCTGAAACAATGTCTTTATGACACAAAAACCAAAGCAAGGCAAGTCAGACATTTGGGAGAGTTTCTCCGATTGTGTTAATATTTCTCATTCAGGTCTCTCTTAGAAAAGCGACCTCGATCACTGCCTGATTACAGAGGAAAATAGAATATGAAACGGCCTTGGTTTCATTAACCCTTTAAGCACCACATAGAAGCTCTATGTTTTTTTTTTTTTTTTTTAAGAATTTTATAGTTTAAGTAGCTAGGAGTTATTTGAAATCACATGTGCCGGGGCGTCACCGGTAGCCTAGTGAACTAGACCAAATTCTTGCTTTGCAAAGAATGGTCTAGGCATGCTCCATTGGAATCTCAGCAGCTCCGACCAGGACTCTGGCTAGCCAATCACAGCTCTCTAGAGGGGTTTCAAACACATAAAGAGCTGTGATTGGTCCATAATGGTGGGCCAGTCATAGTGCTCTATCTGCTTAGTGAACAAATCACAGAGCTTTATCCACTTTGTGGGCCAATCAGGGCACTCTATATGCCTGGTGGGTGGGATGATGCAACAGAGTGAAACAAGAGTATGTCACATTCATTGTCCAGTGGAATGCAGAGATCATTTGAAAGACAACGGTAGAACCCGCCCCACAACCGAGAGCCGTCAATGGAGCGTGGCCAGACTAAATAATACATTTATTTAGTCTGGCTTGCCAGGCTACGTCACCGGTGATCCTGGTGACGCATCAGCGTTAAAGGGTTAAAAACTAAATGAAAACAAAGTGCGTCAATCCTGACCAATGTGTTAAAAGACGTGCAGGATCCGATCAATTTGTTTTTCCCTCATTTGATGATGGCACAGTGCGCGGGTCTGGTGGTAATCAAGTTCAATTTTAACTATTTCCAACAATTTTCACAAGAAAACAAAACAGTTAAATGGCAGGGATAGAAAGAATTACCCCGACGCATGCAGACGAGCTGACATTTTATTTGTTATGCACATCGCAGATGTAGCTAAATCACCCAAGAAAAGATTCCCATCTGAACATCTGAGCTGGACACTACTCAGCGCAGCTCACTGTCAGCGTGTTCGTAAGGTGCACAGCGAGCTGAAGAGAAAGTTTTCCAACTAACGTCCAGACAGAGCTGATATAACTCCAGCGAACAGCGACACACTCAAACCAGCACGACTCTGTGGCTGCTGTTGTTGTGTTTCCTCCCCGACACACAACAACGTGGTCAAGCTGCTCAGACATGTTCAGCAGCACAAACCTATGTGAGCATCTGTTGTCAGCTAATGTTGTCATTATTATGATGAGGATGAACAAAACAACAGGAGTCTCCTCCTCAGCTCAGATCAACCCCATGATGCAGGTATTTGGCTGGAACAGGTGAGCATCACAGTAAACCAGTGGAGCAAACTGAGCTTTAAATATGTTGGTTTTATGCTCTTTTTCTGCTCCAAAACATGAAAGTTAACAGGTGAGATGTTGCATTTTCATTTAAGATAAAATTATATTTTTATTTTGTTGTTGGCCTGTGAGAAAAGATTTAACCTACAGTAAAACAGGAAGTGGAAAGGCTGCAGATAGATGAATAGAATAGAAAATCCCTTTATTGTTCCTCAGTGGGGAAAGCTAGATGTCACAGCAGCGATGACACGTATTACAGGAGAAAAAAAGGAGAATAAAAAATAAGAAAAATGAATAAACAAGAAAACATAAATCCTGAATAGATTTTAAAAATGCTGAATATACCACAAGTAATAAATACCACTGATGCCTTTTATTTCAAACTGACTTGCTTGTGTGTAATTTGGTTATTCCACATTCAGTGTTAATGCAGAAATATGTTTATTTCCAAACTTAAAGGTTCAAAATTGCATACATGTTGATAAAGAAAATGTGCAAATTTTCTGTCACTTTTTCAAAAAATATTAAGTTTGGCCCTCGACTCCGTCCCAGAGTTTCATTTCAACCCCGTGTGAGTTTGAGTTTGACACCCCTGGTCTAAATAGTCATTAGAATAGTCGACTATTTGATAAAATAATTGTCAGAATTATTTTAAAAATAATCGTTTACCCCCAGCCCTAGATGGCAGACAGCGTGTGTGGCGTTGTGTGGGTGAGCGCTTTGCTGATGTCAATACTGTGGATCGAATGGCCCATGGTGGTGGAGGGGTTAAGGTATGGGCAGGCATCTGTTATGGACGAAGAACACAGGTGCATTTTATTGATGGCATTTTGAATGCACAGAGATACTGTGATGACATCCTGAGGCCCATTGTTGTGCCATACATCCATGAACATCACCTCATGTTTCAGCAAGATAATGCACGGCCCCATGTTGTAAGGATCTGTACACAATTCTTCGAAGCTGAAAATGTCCCAGTTCTTGCATGGCCAGCATACTCACCGGACGTGTCACCCGTTGAGCATGTTTGGGATGTGCTTGACCGGCGTATACTACAGCGTGTACCAGTTCCCACTAATATCCAACAACTTCGCACAGCCATTGAAGAGGAGTGGACCAACATTTCACAGGACACAATTGACAATCCGATAAACTCTATACGAAGAAAATGCGTTGTACTGCATGAGGCAAATGGTGGTCACACCAGATACTGACTGGTTCTGAGTCCCCAGACTCCCAATAAAGCAAAAAACTGCACATTCTAGGGTGGCCTTTTATTGTGGGCAATATAAGGTACACCTGTGCACTTCTCATGATGTCAGATCAGCATCTTGATGTGGCACACCTGTGAGGTGGGATGGATTATCTCAGCAAAGCACAGGTGCTCACTATCACACATTTAGACTGATTTGTGAACAATGTTTGAGAGAAATGGTAATATTGTGTATCTGGAATGAATTTTAGATCTTTAAGTCCATCTCATGAAAAATCGGAGCAGAAACAAAGGTGTTGCGTTTATATTTTTGTTGAGTGTATATGAAAGTCTAATGTTTATCAGTACATTACAGAAAATAATGAATTTTATCACAATATGCTATTTTTTTGAGAAGGACCCGTATAACAATTAGATCCAGGATATGAATGTGCGGCCGAAACCGAAATGCTGTAAAGTATAAAATAAATAGGGTCACTCACTCCACCCGATCAAAAGCCTTTTCAGCATCCATAGATATGACTACTTCAAGGATACTAGATGATGTTGGTAAATATAAATTATTCAGTTAACATCTGATATTGTGATATAAGTGCCAGGTCTTTATAAAACCTGTTTGATCAGGGTCGATAATTGAAGACATTATGGACTAGACGCTTTACCAGCATTTTTGCCAGGATTTCAACATCTGCACTCAGCAAAGAAATTGGGTCATAACTGCTACAGATGCAGGAGTATTTATCTTTTTTTTTTATTAAGGACATTGTGGCATGTTGCAGGGTAAATTGGAGAACACCAGTCTCAAAAGCTTTTTTAAACTTATTCAGCATGAGGGGAGACAATTTCCCATTAAAAGCCTTATTATAGACATCTGATGCAAAACCATCAGGCCAAGCATCCTAAACAGTAGGAATGAGGCTAATTCGATGCCATTGTTCTTTACTCAAGTCACATAAAAAGGCCTGCTCATTGAAGTGATTTTGTATTCATTTACTGATAATTAGGGGAGGTTGTTTAATGTTTGTATCATTGCAGACTAGGGGCTGCATGACTTAATTTTTTTTAAAAGTTGACAGTCAAGAATGAAAATCTAGTCAACTTTGACTAGTTGTTGATGACGTCATACACCTGAAGCGGGTTGGTTCGCTGGAGTTTTTTACAATTAAAATTGCGCCCACATTTTCAAAGTTAACACACATTTCTTTTAACAACGGTAGTTTCTGCTTCAGCCCTCTCCCCCCTCCCCCTGCGCAGCGGCCGCAAACTCACTGATGCTTCTGCAGCCTCTCCGAGATCCTGCTGCTCTAAACATTAAAATAATTATTTCATTTTCTGTTCCTCGCTTCTGATTACCTTCAATGGTGTCTGTTTGTTGCAACCACCAGGTACAAAAACTAACTTTTATTTATTTGACTATTTTTCCGTCCTGTCTCTGTTTATTATCTTCCTGCATCTCCTCTCAATCCTAAAGAAAAACTGCTACCTGGCTTCATATATTTTCACCTTATGAGTTACCTTTGAACTGCAGTTCTAAAAGATCTACCGACCGCAAAAACAGCAGAGTGCTCGCCGCTCGCCGGCCGCATCAGTGAGGTGCGTCACCGGAGGACAAACAGGTGATGCGCTCCGCTCCACAGCAGCGAAAAGCATCAGGCACAAATAAAAGACAGAAAGCAGAAAAGGAAATGAGCCGACATGATTGATCGTGTGTTAAATTAGTTTTTGAGGTGGTGACACCTAATTTGATAATGTTACTGTGGCTGTGCTCAGGACGCAGATGTCTCCAGCGCATCAACAGTCGACTAGTAGGCTAGTTGATACAACCCCTATTGCGGACACGAGCAGTAATACAATGGCCACTAAGGCTTTGGCAAAAACTGCAGATGGGTATTTTGTTGGTCTGTTGGTGAGAATTATCAACATGTCCCATGCGTGGTCCAGTGTGTACACTCCTTCCTCCCTGTTTATTGTCCTGGCAAAGGCGCCAGTGCGAGCCAAAACATGTCAGAAAATAGGTAAAAACAAGCTTTATTTACACTGTGTATTAGTGAAGAACCCCAAAAATTGAATCAGATTGAAAATACAGGATGAACATTACAAAGAAAAGCCTTCACAAACATGATAAAATGGAGACAAAGGTATCAGTCTTGGTATAAGTCACCTAAGTGGTCGACAATAGATTAAATGTGTCTGAAACAGTTATAATTTCATTTCAGCCATGTGCTACATGTAGAAAATGTCAAGTCAGTTAATTATAATTTCTTTTCACTACCTTGTTCATCTTTTCTGTCAGTGACCTGGAGCCCCTGCCAGATGAGAGACACCCATCCAAGCAGAAAGATCTGGACATTAGACTGAGAGAACCAGGGACTAACAACAGCAGTAACATGGTCCCACGAAGCGCCGAAGGCTCCATCTCGGAGGATGTCTTCATTGAGACGGAACTGCCCCCCATTCTGAAAGAGGAACAACAAGCCTTCAGTGATGGCCTCTGTCAGGAAACGTCTTCTGGTGCTTTTTCAGAGTCTGTTCAGACCCCTTTCCAGGTGGAGGTCTCCAGCTCACAGGCCCAGGGTGGTGCCCAAAGCTTAGTCAGTCAGCAGGAGGAGCCTGCTGCAGCAAAAGCAGAAAAAAATCCACAAAACACTGCCACAGTAAATGACAGCCAGTCCTCCAGGGGACCAGAGCAGCTCAGTGTAGAGAAGCCACCAAGCACACCCACCAATGCCACCACCAGCAGCACTAGCCAGACCCAGGGTCCTGACAACAGCAGCACCTCTCACCCAGGGTCCCAACGTTCAGCCAACCTCTCCGTCCCATCCACTCCACAGGAGGACACAGACCATGGGCTTGAAACCTCCAAAACAGACTCTGTGCAACAAGACGAGGAGGAGGGATGTGAGGAGCAGACACAAAAGGACGACACACATAAATCAGAGGGTAAACACACATGCTCACTGATTAGTGTAATGATAGGGTAACAAATGAAACATTTTTACCCTGGGATGCAGGTGCAAAACAGTTTAGGTGAATCCAGCCCTCTTTTGTCTTTTAGCTGCACTCTGACATCCATTTTTCTATAATGCAAGCAAAGTGAAATTTTCTGCTGTTTGATTTCTCTCCAATCACCTCTACTCTCTCTGCCTCCTGATAACCTTTCTGTTTCCACACTGCTTGGTGTTAGCTGTTGGAATTTAAAGATGGAGGGAAATGGCACACTGTTGCTATAATCTTGGCAAAGCTTTCCTAGGTTCATGCAGGGGTTTTGTGCAGGTCTTTGAACCCTGTGGCAGCCTGGGCCATTCCTCTGGGTGATGAGCTAAAGCCCATCAAACACCACTATGCAACAAACAGTTATAGTCCCCAGAAGGAAAGCTTGCTGAATGAATTAACCCAACATGTACAGTGGGGCAAAAAAGTATTTAGTCAGCCACCAATTGTGCAAGTTCTCCCACTTAAAATGATGACAGAGGTCAGTAATTTACAGCATAGGTACACTTCAACTGTGAGAGACAGAATGTGAAAAAAAATCCATGAATTCACATGGCAGGATTTTTAAAGAATTTATTTGTAAATCAGGGTGGAAAATAAGTATTTGATCACTTCTAACAAGGAAAATCTCTGGCTCTCACAGACCTGTAACGTCTTCTTTTAAGGAGCTTTTCTGTCCTCCAATCGTTACCTGTATTAATGGCACCTGTTTGAACTCGTTATCTGTATAAAAGACACCTGTCCACAGCCTCAAACAGTCAGACTCCAAACTCCACTATGGCCAAGACCAAAGAGCTTTCGAAGGACACCAGGAAAAGAATTGTAGACCTGCACCAGACTGGGAAGAGTGAATCTACAATAGGCAAGCAGCTTGGTGTGAAAAAATCAACTGTGGGAGCAATTATCAGAAAATGGAAGACATACAAGACCACTGATAATCTCCCTCGATCTGGGGCTCCACGCAAGATCTCATCCCGTGGGGTCAAAATGATCATGAGAACGGTGAGCAAGAATCCCAGAACCACACGGGGGACCTGGTGAATGACCAGCAGAGTGCTGGGACCACAGTAACAAAGGTCACCATCAGTAACACACTACAACGGCAGAGAATCAAATCCTGCAGTGCCAGACGTGTTCCGCTGCTGAAGCCAGTGCATGTCCAGGCCCGTCTGAAGTTTGCCAGAGAGCACATGGATGATACAGCAGAGGATTGGGAGAATGTCATGTGGTCAGATGAAACCAAAGTAGAACTTTTTGGTATAAACTCAACTCGTCATGTTTGGAGGAAGAAGAATACTGAGTTGCATCCCAAGAACACCATACCTACTGTGAAGCATGGGGGTGGGAACATCATGCTTTGGGGCTGTTTTTCTGCTAAGGGGACAGGACGACTGATCCGTGTTAAGGGAGAGAATGAATGGGGCCATTTATCGTGAGGTTCTGAGCCAAAACCTCCTTCCATCAGTGAGAGCTTTGAAGATGAAACGTGGCTGGGTCTTCCAACACGACAATGATCCCAAACACACCGCCCGGGCAACAAAGGAGTGGCTCCATAAGAAGCATTTGAAAGTCCTGGAGTGGCCTAGCCAGTCTCCAGACCTCAACCCCATAGAAAATCTGTGGAGGGAGTTGAAAGTCCGTGTTGCTCGGCGACAGCCCCAAAACATCACTGCTCTCAAGAAGATCTGCATGGAGGAATGGGCCAAAATACCAGCTACTGTGTGTGCAAACCTGGTAAAGACCTATAGTAATCTTTTGACCTCTGTTATTGCCAACAAAGGTTATGTTACAAAGTATTGAGTTGAATTTTTGTTATTGACCAAATACTTATTTTCCATCCTGATTTACAAATAAATTCTTTAAAAATCCTGCCACGTGAATTCATGGATTTCTTTTCACATTCTGTCTCTCACAGTTGAAGTGTACCTATGATGAAAATTACTGACCTCTGTCATCATTTTAAGTGGGAGAACTTGCACAATCAGTGGCTGACTAAATACTTTTTGCCCCACTGTAAATGTCACATGAGACAGCATTCAATGGGCTCTTGTTTCTATGTTCTCTCTGATTTTAATTAAAAGGATTACAGCAAATGTTTTAAACACAGAAATACATTTTTCTATGTACAGGTAGAAAATATCCTAGTACAGATTTTTTTTGTGTGCAAATTGTGTGGATTTTCCCAACCAAATATTTCAAATTTTCTTGTGGAAAAACTCCTGAGAGTATAAAACAAATTATATGTAGGATAAACTGCTAGTTTGATTCAAGTTAAGTTGCCTTAAAACTGAGCTAAATCTGACAGCCTGCACTCTTTTGCTGTTTCGTTGACCAGACAAATATATCAGTATACCTGTTTTCCTTAAGGAGCTTAATTTTCTGCATTTTTTTTTTATTTTAACCTGTAATTAAGTGTACAACTCAAATTAAAAGTAGCACACTGTAAGACACCCTGATCCTTTCAGATCCAACCCTGCCTTTACGTTTTACAGCTTAGCCATTACTGACATGATTTCTATGTTTTATTTAGCAGCATTTCAGTAAAAATTTGTGTATCATAACTGACTGGTTTTTGCTCCTCTGACCCACCATAGCTGAAACCGTATTTGGAATCTTCAAAAGATTTAGAACAAGATGGTAGTGGATTTCTGCCTGGCAGTCCTTACCACGCAGGTCAGATTGGATCTCAGGAACATATCAAGAGGAGCTCCACAGGATTCTGTGTACTTAAATTATAATGTATCACACAAGTATGAGCAGCAGCCTCCATCTTTTTTTACCATCTCTAGTTTGCTTCTATTGTTAACGGTGATTTCATTCAGCCTCTTGTAAACCTATAATCATCTCCCAATATTATGTTATTGTAAACCAGTTCCCTTTGAGTTAACAGTACAGAACTAATGTGTTTTTGCCAAACACTGACTGAAGCTCCCTGTATGGAATAGAAGATAATGAAATCATAAATGATCAGTGTTCACATTTAGTCCGGGAGATGGCTTTTGATTTTTTTGTGTTATTTTTCCATTTAAAAAGTTTTAATAATTGTTTTCATATTAATACTCCCAGAGAATCAGACGGTTAGTTCAGCATGCAGCTGTGAAGCACTGAGGAATGTCATCTTGATTCCATCTAAACATAAAACTTCACTGGGGATGTCTTAAGCCTTCATAATAATTGTTTAGATGTTTTTCATTTGATCCATGCAGAATCTTCAGTAAATTCCAGAATCATGCATGTTTTGGCCTTGTTCGGGCAGATTTAACTGTCCTAGCTATTTAGTCAAACCAGTGTTTAAAGCCCCTGTGATCATGAAACTTTTTTGTTTATTCAGGTACAGGGTCTGCTGAAAGGAGGAAGCACCGCACTCACAAATTCCTGTGTCTGCAAGTGGGGAAGCCCATGAAGAAGACATTTGTTTCCAATGCCAGTGCCTCCATGCAGCAGTATGCCCAGCAGGGCAAGAGGAATGAATACTGGTTTGCAGTTCCACAGGAGAGGTCTGTAGTTTGACTTATCTCTATGGCCCCACAAAGAACAAAGAAATGCAAATAAGGATTTGTGTTTGGCTTAATAACAGAATTTACAGTTGTAAAATAGCTTCTAGTTCTGATTAGATTGGGATATACACTGGTCAGAAAATAAAGGGAACACTTAACACAATGCAACTTCCAAGTCAATCACAATTGACATGCCAATTCTACATGCAGTTTCTGCTGCCCTTAGTTGAATGTTGAAAGTCACATTAGTCATCATCACACACTGGTGAAATCTGTCTCTGCATTTGTCCTATCCCCCTGGGGAGTGGAGAGCTGCAACTGTGGCTGCGCTCGGATGTATGAATGAATGAATGACTACTCAACCAGTGAGCTAAACACAGGAAGATGTGGTTCCAGGAACAAGAGGATACAGCGTGTTTGTCTTTGTGTCTTCATTGAAGTTTGTTTTCTCTTCTTTTAATCGTAAGACTGTGACCATACAGTAAAACAGGTCTCTAACACGACGCACTTGAAAGTCTCTCGCCTGGAAGCAGCCAGCGAGCCATCCTGCCTGACTTGTAATTAATGAGGAATGTCTTTTAAATTTGATGGCAAGCCTTCCCTGTTTTCTGTGATATCTAATCTAAAATTAGCATTTTGCGGAAGTAAAATCAAAATCTGATAATTGCACAAGTCTTTTGGCAAAAGCGTACTGCTGGAAATGTGCAGATTTATTGCTCTGGTTGCAGCACGGATCCCCGTTTCTGATCTCAGCGGCTGCAGCTGGAGTGGGTGAATGAAAACCCTTCTAAATAAGACAGGGTGATGTCAGTTATACAGACCTGTTTTCAGAAAAAAACATTCTTAGTAAGATAATCTGGGTGACAGTAAAGTCCAATCCGCAGTAACAGCTCGTTAATGCTAATTAAATGCTGTTCGTTTATGAACACATGTTGAACACAGACTTCAACCTCTGAACATCTCCTGTGAAAATATAAGGGCGTGTGACTTAGCAAAATAAAACCGGGAGTCTCATTAAAACAATTACCAAATTTATATAACAAGGCTCTTAAAAAGAGAGCCTGAACACTCGCCGCCTGTCATCACAACATCAGATACAAACAAACACACGCCTTACTTAACATCAGACAAGAGAAGAATCGTAGCTGTTACAGGTCTCAAATGCATTAACATTTAACAATTGTCAGCTAATAAAATAGGTTTGGGGCTGGGTGTAAAGCTTGTGTTTTTATTATTTAATCATTAGTGGGTGATTAGGTATATAATTCATTTTATGAATTACCAACCATTAAGTAAGGATTAAGGAGTCATTAAAGAATCATTAGCTAATCAATCCATCATGGGGTGGTTGTGAAGCTTATGTAATCATTGGTTAATCATTTGATACTGATTCTTTCAGCATTAGTTACTTTGTAGGTAAGCTGATTTTGTGAAGATTAGGTAATCATTAGTGTCTTATTAATTATCTAATCATTTCATGAATAACCAACCATTAAGTAATCATTCAGGAATATTTAGCTAGTAAATCTACCGTGGGGTGATTGTTAAGCTTAGGTAATCATTAGTTAATAAATTAAATCCTGATTTTTTTTTATCATTAGTGACTCATTAGGTAAGCCAATTTTGGGACCATTATTATAAAGTGTTACCTACTTTAAAGCCCCAGTGTGTGATATTTTTACCAGTTTGTTATCAAATCCTGTTTCCAGTTCACAAACTTGTCCTTTTTCACTAACCACCAACATCAATTCTAAATATTCATCTCAACTTGAAATTATACATTTTTATATACATAAACTGTGGTTGACGCTCCATGGTCATCCACCATCTTAAAATACAGTAGCTGTTTAGGGACATACGAACTCCACGTTACCCGTTTGGACTGTGAATGTAACCTGAAAGAACCAGCAGAGGGCAGCAGTGCACCCTGGAAGCATGGAGTTTGCTAATTCAACTAAGAAATAGAAAAGAATAGCTACACCGTTGCTGTACTTGTTAGTTTGAATTAAAAAAATAATTAAATCAAAAGACACGTGTCAGTTTGTCATGACCAACACTAGGAAGCCACATATGTTCAAATCCCCTCCTGCTTTTATCTGGACGTCAGCCTCCGATTAGTGTCTCTGACTCCCAAACTCACCTCAAGTTGTTCATTCATCTTTTCCTAGTACCAGAACTCCCGGTCCTTTCTAAAGCCTGTATACAGTCGCAGCATACACAGCATCTTCCCCGGCTTTAGCCATGGCTAACTAGTAGTTCGTGACGCCCATCTTCACCACGCCAGCCGTGAGCTACGATTAGCTGGTGGCTAAGTCAATATTGTTTACTTGACTTCCACAGCGTTTCCCCGGCTCACCAACCCTCCTTCACCAGCCGTGGATAATGAGCAGCCAGTGATCACTCCATTTCCATATGAGCTGGTAGTGGCAGCTAGTTTGTTTACATCAAATGTGAAATGGTTGTTGTGGGAAATTATAATCCCTGAAATATTCTGTTTCCCCTAGGCAATCAAGAGCAAATATTTTGAAATTCACATAACTTATTGTCCATTATGAGGACTAAAATACCTCAAATAAAAGATGGTTAAACTGAGTGAGATTACATCCTTTTACATAACTTTCAAAAATGATTCATAAGCTTGCTGCAAAAGAGTGAACAAGAAAGTTTTTACTGTATCTTTTTATTGTTTTTAGGAGGAAATATAGATTACAAAATCACAAGCATAACATTATTACATTACATTACATCATTTTCCTGTAAAAGTTTATTCCAAATGTTGTGAAAATAGCCAGAAGTGCAATCTCCCAACACGGGGGGGGGGGGAACAGAATAGTTCAGGGGAACACAACTTCTCACAACACAGGTTCTCACAACAGGTGAGCTTGAGCTCCCGGCTGATGTCACCCCTCCGCCGTGTGTGAATAGTGACGGCTTCAAGATATAACAGAACTAGCTTCCTTCAAAGCTGGTAGGTTGATAAAACAGTCATAATTATAAATGCGTTTTTAAAAAGGTCAAGTAGGTTGTTTAAAGCTTTGTGTGGGTTGTGTGGGTTCAAAATTGATTATACAATCAAACTCATGAGTGAGCCACCGTAGCTGCTATTCTTTCTGTGAACTGCACGGCGCTAAAGAGTCACATTTTTTCATCATGATTTCAATGGATTTCACACATGGGACCCTTAAGAAAAAAGGATGACAGCAGGTCAAATTTCAAAGTATATATTTCATCAAATGGAGGAAACACTATGAACTATAAATAACAGAAGCATTTGCACACAAAAAATTTGAAAATGAATGCTCCGGACTAATAAATTCCAATGCAGCAGCAGTGATAATGTTTGCACCTCCTCTCCTGTTGTAACTGTAGGTAATTAATCAGCTAACACATCAGTGCCATTTTATATATATATATATATATATATATATATATATATATATATATATATATATATATACACACCTCCACACTAGCAGGCTCCAGCAACTTAAGTCCAACCTGTGGTGAGATTTTGCACATCTTGCAAAAGCTACAACACTACACCACGCAAGAAGATGACTCTGCCTTCACAAGGAGCATATTTGGAAAGATCTTTCCAAATGATACCAGGTACAATTGATGATTTATTTATCATAAATAAACTTGACAGTCAAAAATACATAGTTGTGATGTCACATTTTTCTTTCTTTGAAAATTTAAGGATGCTGAAATCCAAAGTTTCCTGGAGGAGACCACCATATTGGCCCCAGATTTAAATCGAAAGTGGATAATGATGAATCCTGAGACAGGATCAGGGAAGCAGCAAACACAGAGGCATTCGCAGAGGAGGTATTTGTCTTTCATTGTACCACATTTCCATCGGGAGAGTGTCCTGTTTTGCTTCATTTCCAGACCCTAATTATGGGGGCTTGGTTAAAACCCACTTCAATGACAGAAATATGTAGCCCAGTTGAGCAGTGCTATTTAATAGCAAGTCCTCAAGTGTTTTGAAATAAGGAAATATTAACATCTAATTTAAAAGTGTGTTCAAGATTTTTTAAAATGTGAATAAATGTTAGAGGAGTAGAGCATAAAGTAGTTCATCAAACTGAAACTATTTCTTTGTCATTTAAAATGAGAACAAAAGCCGTTTATATTGAATACTTTATGGCAGAACACAAGAATTGGCCATTTTACATCCTGGGTGTCATGTGTGGGATTGTTGTCAAGGACCTCTGGGGTTTACCTTTGCCATCCACTGCCTATTCATCATATTCAGCTGCATTACAAAGGAATCTGCACATCTAACATCTTCCATTTACCAAACAAACCCAAGGATTTGTGAGTACAAAAATCTAATCAGTGCACATGCTTATTATGTTTACTTGCTCAAAGAGGCTGTTTGTTTCTGGCCACTGTTCACCAAAGCACCAATTCAGGCCTGCAACATGTTTTATTTTGAGTTCATTTTTTTCATTCAACTGAAAATGAACAATATTTGTTTAATGGTAACTAAAGTGTTGATATAAATTTGATTCTCGCATTGATGTTTCTCATATTTTCTTAGGAATTTTGTTGTTTCATGCAAGTGTATTTAAATTAATACAACTATTGAGCTTCAGTTTATTCTTAGCAGGGGTAAATGGGAAATTAATAATTTTTCATCTAAGTGGAGGCACCACCAAAAATTGGATTAAAAATTAGACCAAAACATAAATGTACAAGAAGTTGTATCTCCTGTGAGCCATTTGTACAGAAAACCATAATCAGAAGTTCCCAGGGCCCCGTATACCGTACTATACCATAAACAAACTAAACATTTCTGAACTAGCTACCTGACACAGGCACCGCTGGGATCCTATTAGTCAATTATTAACATAACTATATTCACTAATTGAGCCCTAAAAAGCAAACATCAAACTGTTTTATTTTTGGCCTAGCCTTGATTAATGACAGTCAAAGAAATAAAACTAATCATGAGCACCTTGTTGCAGCCAGAGTTAAGTTGTTGATGTAGGGGA